AGCTAGAAGAACAAGAACGTCAACGTATAGCTGCCAATATCTTTGATATCTATGCATTTTTTGATAAAGAAAGGACCCACAGAAATATGCGTGTGTTGCGGTGACACTTGGTTCCCTCACCAAGTGAAAAAACTAGAAAAGCGTCAGACTTCAACAAAATTTACGCGTTTAGAAGATGCTATAAAAGTGTTGTAACTCTCATCAAAATTTCCATCTTCGAACCAAAAGTAAAACTATTGCAACACAGCCAATCGGATTGTTAGGATATTTGTCTCTCGGGAGGATTGGAGGAGGCTTCCATTTATGCGCATCATCTACTTAGGATTTGAACGACAATTTGCTATTCGTGGAGTAGTGGTGAATATCCCGAATTATGTTGTAGAGACAGTCACCATGCTGCCACGAAGATTTGACTTCAGCCATGTTATTCAAGTGCACTTGAAACGTCGATTGAAATATCAGCAAAATTTTATGACGGAGACAGTGCGACCACGCTGGCGACTATCTGCTGGGTACAAAGCTCTAATGTTAAGCGATGGCTAGCAAATCTTGTTGTATCCAACGATTTACTGCGGAAAGAAGAGGACATCCACAATTGATAAGTGACAGAATTATCAACACAAATGAATTTGAAACATTCATCGACCGACACATCACAACCGATGGTGATGATTTGGACTTACTGGAATTCATTCAGTATCAAAAGCACAGATATGGTCGAGCTTGCCTAAGAGACCTACTTGAAAAACTTGGAAGTGTGCTGATTCAACATGCCATATCCGCCGATGGACAGAAATACTTTTCCCCTTGGAGAATGAGAAAGGTATTGAGCAACACAAAGTTTAATTCCAAAAAATATAGGAACTATTAACTCTAACGGATCTTCCAAAAGAAGAAATAACACGGTTAAACTGCTTAAAAATTTTTTGGCGGATGAGCGAATCAATACTGATTATGAAGGATAGAAGCTTGCTCTTCGCTCATCTGTAAAAAAGACACACATTTTCCTAAAGAGAAAATTTTCAGACAGGTTTCTAAATGCCTATAATAAAAACATCCTTAAATTGCATAGGGCAAAGATGGATATTCAATTCATTCTGGACGCATACGCTTGCTGCAGCTATATAATTAATTATATAAATAAATCCAATAAAGGAGTATTAACACTACTGAGACAAGCCATGAAGTAAATAAATGCAGGGAATTTCTCCATTAAAAGAAAACTGCAGCACATCGAAAACAAATTTTTAAACGGATCGGAAATAACGGCTCAACAAGCAGCTTATAATATGTTGGGACTACATCTATCAGAAGCCAGTCATGGGGAAATATTTATAAATTGTGATGAACCGAGTGAGGATGATAAAGCCCCGACTTGAATTGAAAGCTTTACAGGAGGACTCTACAGACATATATTATATGTGCCGAGTGTGCTGGAGCACTACTCTCAAAGGCTGGATCAATTGGAAGAACTATGCTTAGCAGATTTTGCAGCATGGTTCAGATTTTGCAAAGCAAGCAAAAATATTTCTGATAATAACGAAGACTACAACGAAGTATTAAACGAGAATGACACGACAGCTGCACTTCCAATGGCATTAAAGGAAGGATCAGAATTTTTAAGGAAAAGGAAGCAAGCCCTTATTCTTCGCTGGAAACGTTTAAACGTTGAAAGTTCAAGAGCCGATTTCTTTAGAGAAACCGCCATGATGTTTCACCCATGGAAAAATGAGGAAACAGACCTATTGAATATTGACGTCGAGAGTGTTTGCAATGCACACAAGGAAAAAATTGAGCAGAATAAGCTCAAATTTGACAAGTTTTCATACAACGAACTTGGAAAACTTTCATGTTACAGCGGAAGAAACAACTGATGATCGAGCTGCCTCACAACTTTTAGATCCCGGACTCAGAGCTTTAGCCGTTCCAGAGCAAACAGGAGACATTAATGTTTTTCAAGAGTACAACAATACAGAGGAAGAGGCGGTTCGATTAATTCAACTCCCACTTTTAATATTAGATGACGATTTTACTGGAAATAGTGCAGTCACTTAACAGCAAACAGAGATAATATTTTGCTCATGTAATGCACAATGTCAGTAAAAAGGAAATCTTCTTCGAATGTGTCGGAGGCGGTGCTGGAGTGGGCAAGAGTCGGCTTATTACGAATATATATCAGACGTTGACATTGCGAACTACTAGTGTACCAGGAACCAACCCCGAAACAGCCAAGGTATTACTCTGCGCACCCACTGGCAAAGCAGCATTTGGAATTGGAGGCCTAACCCTTCATTCGGGTTTTTCACTCCCCATCGACAAGTCTTCCGGCGATCTTCGGCCACTGAATAGTGACATATTAAACACTATTCATGCCAATCTCATAGATATTAGGATTATTATAATTGACGAAATTTTAATGGTTGGCGCTTACTTTGGAAGCATACCAATTATCGTGCTTGGTGACTTAAGCAGCCGCCATCAGTAGGAGATCGATGGATATTTGCGCCGAATAGGAATGATCATTACAGTACAATTACAGGAACACCGCTTTGGGATCAATTGCGGTACTTTGAGCTCACTGAAATAATGCGCCAGCGTGAAGATCAAGCATTTGCCATCGCTTTAAATAACATGGCAGAGGGAAATACGACACACGCTGACATCCAATTGACTGTGAAGTCTTTTAAGCCATCGGAAATAAAAGGAATGCTTTATATTATACATTGCAGCTCAAGACTTCGATCAAATATATGGTGACAGTCAACATAAGCATAAGTGATGGCCTCGTCAATGGTGCTACGAGGGAACTAATGCAGGTTGATTCCGAATCACATGGATCTGAAAGTTCATGGTGCGACTTTGGATAAAATTCGCATAATCAAGAGTTGGAAGCTTTGCACGTTCTAAGCAGCCTCACAGTCGCAATGCAGATTGGACACCAATCATGAGCGTGGTCCGATCATTCCAATACAAGCGAAATGAGCACATAACCATAGAACGTAGACAGTTCCCGGCCATTCCAGCTGAAGCTATAACGATACACAAAAGTCAGGGTGGAACATACACAAGTTGCTGTTCATCTAGAGGGTAGAGTTAGCAGATCAGCTTTATATGTAGGATGTAGCAGAGCCACAAAGGCCATTAAAACTCAGTTTAAGACAGAAGGAGCATTGTCGACATGCTACAGATTTTTGGTTGAAAAATCGGAACAACGCCTGAACATTTATTATCAAAATGTAAGGAGTCTAAACAAGCATATTAAAGATATCAGATCAGACAAGCTAGATTCAATATCATATAAAAAAGTATTATAGAATAGTAAATATTAATATATTTTATATATTTTCTAATTTCTATAAATATTATAATTTGTTTTGTTTTCCATTAATTTATTGTGAACAATTAATCAGCTTAGAAAATTTAAAATTTATGTAAATGTCTGAAAGATCTATTTACCTCAATAACTAACCTTAATTCAAATAGAAGATTGTTTATAGCAAAGAATCTGGCTAGAAAGAACTGACAAAATGCATTCCGTTGGATGCGAACCGTCTGCAAGTTACGTTTTCAAATGTAGTCATACATATAGTAGTTAATAAAAAAATGCACCAGTGAAGGGTATAAGTATATAGTTAACGTTTTCTCTTGTTTTACTTAAAAAAGTTTACAGCATTTGGTTTTGCGCTTTAATTAGATCTTGAATCATATTTTTCATTGTTGACATAAATTGTGTCATACATTGGTTACTTTTACCACATTTGCATAACTTCCATGGATTACGTTATTTTTAACATAATCCGGTTTTGAACTCTGGTCTGTGATTTCAACAATTTCGCTATGAGGAATGTTCATCATTTGGTTTCGACGTTATTGAATTCCGAGCAACAACTTCGATTTTAAGTCTTTATATACAGGACAACACCTATAATTAGCAGTGTGATTTTCTTCACAATTACAGCATTTCTTTGTTAAAACCTCTTTCTTAAGCGTACATTTAGAAGTAGGGTGTGACTCCCCACATATATACTACATAAATACTGCGAAGCATGGTATAAGGGAGTAGGGAAAGTCCCATTCACAGTAGTTTCGCCACCTCTGAGGCGTACGTTCACAATAAAACCAACATGGCGGCCATGGTGAGTTAGGGTGAAGAGGGGTAAAACGGGTTGCGCATAGCAGAAAACGCCTAAATAATTATTTATAAATATTTTAAATTTTGGTTATTAATTGATGTTTAATGTTAACAATAAATGATATTATACCCTGTTGATATAGGTAAATATGTGGCATATTTTTAAGCATTTTAAATAACTTATTAATGGACAAACTCAGTTTAACTATGAGTGGACGGGAAGAAATAACTATTGTAACAGAATTTGATATTATAAGTAATAAAAATTTATTTAATCAAAAAACCAAAACGTATCATTGTCATACATTGATAATAATTCATTTAAACAATAATGCAAAATTTATTATTGTACTTATATCAAGAAATAGTTACTGTGCCGATGTTTTCTCTAATTTAAGTATAGATTTATTTAATCACAAATTTTATTTATTTTTTATATATCAGCAATTAACGGTGGATATATGTACAATAGTTTATTACAACTTTTGACATACAAATTTACAATATTATTATATAGTTCTTAGTTTAGTATTTAAATATATAGACTTCTAAAATAAATTATTTTTTGAAGTTGCAGTATCTTTATAGTATAAAATACGGTAGGCATATCAGGTAGCTGTCTCTGTATTTCAGCATGTTATTTATATGTTAGCGATTATAAATGTACAATATTTTACTTATAACTATTTACATAAATAAATTACCATATTGTTATATCGTTCTAAGTTTAGTTTTTAAATATATAGACTCCTAAAATAAATTATTTGTTGAAGTTGCAATATCTTTATAGTATAAAACATGGTATAAGGGTATAAAATACGGTAGATATATTTCTTTTTTAAAAAGTAATTTAAAATTAGCTGGGGCAACACTGTTACGCATTGCTCAATAGCAATACTAGCATTTGAATTTATTAAAAACTTTTAGTCAAACGGACGGACAAGTTTTTTTAAAGGGTAAATTGTCTTTTTTTAAATGTTTTTAATATAATTATTTTATGGTTTTTTTTTCATAGAAACAAACAAGTTATTTCGGATCAACAGGTTAGAATTATTTTCTATAATTCAAATTAAAAGAAAATACTAATGGGAACTTTTTTACAGAAGCAAGATGCCACGCAAGTGCATCAGAAGCTGCAAAGGCTCGTTACGTCTTTATAAATTTCCGGGAGTGCGGGAAATGCCCAGGTGAGTAAAGTATTTCATTTTATATGTTTATTTAATATATACTAGTTTTTACCGGTTACGTGGTGTCGGTGTGAAAGCGTAACAAACATACTTACATTTACATTTATAATATTATAATATTAGTATGGAACTATGGATATGGATATGTATATTTCGATCCCCGTATTCCGGGTTTATAATAAATAATGTAAAAGTGTTTTAATGTTAATAATTTTGTTATTTAGTTTTAAGGTATATGGGTGAAAATAGGCCTCCTGGGGAACCGAACACCCAAAAAAATCGGTAACGCGCCATTTGCATACCTCATGGTGGTGTGGAAAATGCATTATAGATATAAGGAAATGTACTAAAATCCAACGAAATAAAACATATTATTTGGCACAGAAAAAAACATGTTTTTATTTAAACAAAGTATTTATATTAAGATTTTTAAATTGTTTCAATGAATGCTATAATACTGGCCCCATATTAGCTTTGGAAACAATTAGATGCACACTAAAACATTTACTCTAATTTACATATAAACAATTTTGTATCATTTAAAACGTAATGTTTGTTTCACTTTCCAAATCATCAGGACGTCTATTAATGAAATTATATCCTTCCAAAACGATATAAATATCATGCACATTGTGGGCGGGTTAAAATAGCTTTATTATTTACTACAGGTTTCTTCTGGAAAAAAAACAGTTTTAGTTATTATTTATTATACATTATATGCACTAATACACATCTGCATATTTTAAATTCTTGTGTGAGCAGTTTTATCAAGAGCAATTAGCATTAAATATTCACTATTTTACGAAGTTTGTGTTGCAAATTTTTAAACATTGCCCTCAGTTTCGTTGAATAGGCATTTTCTGCATCCCGTTATTTGACATAGTTGCTTAATTGCACCTTACATTTTTCTGTGGTGAATATTTATTAAGTTACCACAGTTAAAAAAAGGCATAAATATATATCGTAATGATTCTGAAATTTGCCAATAATAGCCACTCCTTTAAGAACATATAATAAAATAAACTTATTTTATTTTGAAAACATATTAAAGTTTTACATATAACCAATATTTTTTGGACAACTTTTTCATAAATTAAAAGAAAATAGCAAGATGCAACCATTTTCCGGTTAAAAGTCGGCCATCTTGGCTATCAATAGAAACTCAACCCCTAGGCGGACTTGACGTTTCTCCATGGACCCCTCTCAGCTGTAGCATTGTTTACATTCATCAGCTGATTCTTTCTCTACTCCCCCTTTACGATGCTGCGAAGGTTGCAATATGATTTTTAGTGCCCATACTCAGTTAGTGATTCGGTATCGGATTTTGAATTGATTTCCTTTCAATGTTTACGTAGCGGTCAATACCAATTTGAATACCTGCTCCATATTTATTAGGTACACTCCCACCTTCGCTTATTTTTTCCTTCACTTTGTTTGGTATCGCATTTGCTTATACCTGCATGCTCACTGGTGCCTGCAGGTTTGTTGGTGCCGATTGCTGTTTACTGCTGAGAGCATCCTCTGCTCCGATTCTTCTCTGCTGCAGCTGAACGCACCGTTCCCCGTTTTATTTTTTTTTGTTAGGTGCTTTTTTTGTTTGTTTTTTAACTTATTATTTGTTCATGTTTATTTTTATTATTATTTTTGTTTCGGTTAACACTTTGTAAGTACTCTTTTTATATATTTTTGTATCACTAGTTTGTGTTTTTGTGTATTTGATCGGGTTTGTCTAAGCATTCACGAATTAAATACACATCCGCACTCTCTGATACACTTGATCAATTATTTATCCTGAACACCAGAATTGTGTACACCCCAAATGACTGAAGAAGAGCATCATTTGATTAAATTTTTCAAAAAGTATATTCCTAGGAGTAGTAGATCGTACTGATTTTTAAGGTTCGAAACACTTCCCACGATCCCCTAATTTCCTTTTACTGTTTTCAAATTGTAGTTTGTTCACTTTCGGTATTTTTTTTGTAT